GGTACTAAAAAAAAAAAAATTCAGATAGAATTACAATGGATCCCAACTTGCCCAAGCAAGCCTGAAAAACTAAAGCAAGGAAAACAGTGTAGTACTGATGTAAGGACACATACAGATCAATGGAATAGAACTGAGTCCCAAAATAAACTACTGAGAATAGCCTGGCATGGTGGTGCACACCTATAATCCTAGCCCTTGGGAGGCTGAGGCAGGATTGCAAGTAGTGACTCATCTTATGTGGTCATAACAAATACTAGCAATTTAACCAAAAATTGTAAAGATAGAGGGAGGAGAGGGCAGGCCAAGAGGACACAACAGTAAATCCTTGGGCTCTGTGAGAGCAACTTCATAAAGACACATCTGAATGGAAATGGCAGCAAGACTCACTACGTGGAAACATGGAAGTGAAGACTGAGGAGAGTGCAAGAGTTTGAGGGGTGACATAAGGATGGAAAGAGAAGGGCAAGGATGCTTCGGCGCTCACTAAATATTTCCAGGAGGAAATTCAGCCTGAACAGCAGCAGCTAGAACTGCAATTTCATTTATCCTGAGACCAGATCCTCCAACCACCTTTATGAACCCTAAAACAGGCTAACTACCTTCTGTTTTGTGGCAGAAACTGTATCATTAACTCCACTACTCATACTGATGGGAGGGGAAAACCAAACTAGAAGCCATCAGGCATGCCGACAGACACTGCCTGTCTGCACAGACTTCACAGCTCGCAACAAGAACGCAGAGCTCTGTATGTACGAGGCAAGAAGATGCCCTCACTGTGCTGTGGTGGGAAATAAAATGACACCGGTGCTGCAGGGAGACTGAGCTCTGCTGCACACCGCGTCGGTGAAACCGCAAAACTGAGCACCAGGAGCGCAGCAGCTCCACCATCCTGAGGCCTCCGTGCCCTTCTCAAAGGGCAGCTGTCACCCGTACCAGCCCATTCCCTGGGCTGCAGGCTGGTGGCACTGGGGAACCCCCATCACATGGCTCTTTCCTTCGCCCTCATTGGTGGGACAATCCCTGCCACCAAAAGGTTTATTAGGCACAACTGTAGCAAACAAACAATTCCAGAACACGTGAACATGATGAAGTAAACGGGGAAGTATGTAAGACTAAGGGTGCCCTTTAATACTTGGTCATTTCTGAAAAGGAAAAAAAGCAGAAAGAGATTGAAGTGTCGTTTCTCTTCAATTTCTCCTCGTCCAAACCCAACAGCCCCGGGCCTGACCACCCTGAGATATCAGACACCTTGGCAGCGCCACCTCTGTCCACATCCTTTAAACCAACTCCTGCCCACCCGCCAGCAAAGGGGTGACTGTCCCTTGGAACCATCTGTGGGCTTCCTTTTCCTCTCCCACAGGCCCCTGACAGCAGGGTGGAGAGGGGCACACAGGTGACACCCACAAAGGCCCACAAAGGCAGAGCTTGAGTTTCCACACAACTGTTGGCCATGGTGGGAACCCTGACTGCATGGCCCTGGGCTCACGGTAGCTACTGTTGCAGCGCCTGTGCCAGGCCGCCTTGCACTCAGTCCACTGTTGCCCTCAGACACCACTCTGCTGCTTTAGTTGGAATTAATACGATGTGAATAGACCCATGCCGTGCACGCCTCACCTCTAGAGCTGGCTGTCCTGTTCCCTGGCCATCCCAGCACCTAACAGAGAGAGGCCCTGGGCAGACGCAGAGCCCCACGCACCTGACAGGATGATCTCGGTCAGAGAGTCCCGGGTGGTGGTGCCAACCGCAGTGAGCAGGTTGATGGACTGGTCTGTGACGTGGTTACAATAACTGAGGTGCAGCTTGGAGAGCAGGGGCATGTGGCGGATGATGAGCCGCAGGGAGGCATCTGTGATGTCCAGACCTGCCAGGCGCAGCTCCACGATGTTCCGGAGCTTACTCCGATTGTCCATCTGACCTGGGGGGCAGGCAGGTGAGGGGCAGCTGACAAGACACCCTAAGTGGTCTACCGACGGAGTGTAACACTTAAATTTCACTTAGCCATAAAGCACTCCTCCCAAATAAAAATTCTAACACTTAAAATTCACAAGACTCCACTCCAAAGTTAGATGTCTAGATTCTCTGGTAAAATGAGAAAATCTAGAAACCCTGAAACACACTGCACCCAGCAGCCATCAGCCACACGGCCACTTAAGCTGTGGGCGGGCCCTGGCCCTAGCACTGACTCAGGCTCACCCTGCCCCAGCCTTCTGCCCTCAGGAAGTGAACAGAGTGCAGGTCCCCAGGGTGTACAAAGGAGCCTCTGCCACCTTCTGCAGCCCCGTGTGCCCAAAGCCAGCTGGGGAGGGAATGAGGACTCTGGCCTGCATCCTTCAGGGAAGGGCTGAGGCCAGACAAGACCCAAGGACGCCAGCACCAGATGCAGTCGGTTGGCAGCCCAGCACAGCCCCCAGCTTACCTGGCCTGTTATCTGTGGGCGGGGACAGGAGATCCCGCATCTGGGCGTCCTTGAGCCCTTCTACCCACTGGACATCCAGGGTCCGGAGCAGCGGACAACTGGAGCTACAGAGCGCAGAGACTGCGATCCAGGAGCAGCCTGCCAGCACCAAGTCTCGGAGCCCTGGGGAGACAGGTGTGGGGTGGGTGAGCGGGCGCTCAGTCCAACTACTCTACACTCTGGCTCTGCCCCAGGGCTCACCAGGCAGGCGGTTGATGAGCCAGCTCAGCTGCTTCTTAGAAATGTTGGTCCAGCTGAGGTCAAGGGAGGCGGGCTGGCGCCGAATGATGCCACTGAGCATCAAGGGCGTGATGGACTTGCAGTGGTTCAGGTCGATGCGGGTCCACAACCGCTTATCACAGCACCTGGGCAGCAGGAGGGGCATCGTCAGAGGTGGGGCTCACCGGGGAGCCCCTGTTCAGCTGTGACTGCTTCCCCACCTTCCACCCTCAGAGAACTTCCATCTAGTGCCATCTGCTGTGCTCAGGCACCCAGCTGCAGGTGCCGGACCCACTTTCCACCCGACTTCTGTTAGCCTTACAGCCCCACCAGGATGTGCCCGCAGGAGGCAGGCCTCACACCGCTCAGATGCCTCGGCCAGGGTTCAAGTCCAGCGGCATCCCAATCCTGCCTAGGCCTGCTCTGAAGACAAGGCCAGACCTTGGTGCTGCCTTAGCTCACAGAGAGGTACACGGAAAGCAAGCAGGCACTGCCCCTGACAGGAACACACAGGCAGGGCCTCGGCAGCTCCCTGTATGCCAGTGGATGCCTAAGCTCTACGGAGGTTCACAGGAAAGTGCCGCAAGTGACTCCAGCGGGGACACACGCCACTCATGGGCCAGTCTGAGCCATGACTCAGAGCCCTGAGCCAGGGTGAGCCCTCACCAGCGGTTCCAGGTCCTGCAGACCCGCATGCAGACACACAGGTCTTGGTGGCTGAGGTAGCTGAAGACGGCCATCCACACCTCCCTGTGCATGACGTGGGCCGCCCCATCGTCCAGGGGCAGCGAGTCAGGTGGGGGGCTGATGGGGGGCGGGCGGATCACGTGGCGCTCCATCTGGATGCACTTGGGCGGGGACACAGAGGGTGGGGGCCGGGAGATGACCCGGGGCGGGCTGCGCAGGCCGTGGCCCAGCGGGTGCCGCAACTCCCGGGGGGTGCCGTTGAGCCCCTTGCTGAAGCGGTGGGGCCGCTCACAGTGGCCCAGCGGCCGCTTGGGCTCCTCATTCTCGCTCTCGGGCTCTGACTTGATGGGCTGGTGGTTCTCATGGGCCAGGCTGCTCTCTGTTTTCTGGATCTCATGGTTGAGCTCCTTGCTCAGCTCCTTGCTCAGCTCCTTATTGGGAAGCCGCCGTTTCCGGCGCATCTTCACTTTCTTCTTTTCCTCCGAGCCCTCGGCCCCCTCCGTGCTGGGCCCTGCGGTGGGCGAGCTAGAGCGTGAGTGGTCACTGTCCCTGCTTTTGGGGGGCGCCTCAGGCAAATCATCCTCTGGCTCCTGCTTGAAGCGCCGCAGGGGCTTCGTAGCCAGTGGCATCCGGTCCTCAGCGTTCTTCCAGGACCTCCGCTGCAGCAGAGGGACAGAGGTGGGAGGCCCACGGTCAGCACACAGCACCCACCCCAGACTCCCGACCGGCACCTCAGGACCTCTGGGCCCCAGGCACTGCCCACAGATGGGAGCACCAGGGGCACAGGGAGGGAAGGGAGGACAGTACCTTCTTCCTGAAAAGCTTATCTTCTTTGCCAGGCTTTAGCTGTGGTGGAAGAAAGGATGCAGAGCTTGCTCCCGAGGCTCTTGGAATGTGGTCCCCTTTACCCCCAAGCCCACCACGAGCCCAGTCTACAGCGCGGGCTGGAGGGAAACCACCCCCAAGTGCCATCTCCTCCTTCCCATCTCACTGGCAGTATGGACCCTGCCTGCTGCTTTCGGGGAGGAGGAGGAGGAGGATGGCCGAGGGTTCCCGCCCGCTGACTCCCACCCGGCAGACCCAGAGCCTGCAGACGCCATCACCTCAGCCTGGCTCCGGCCGGCCGGGGCTGGAGCACAGGCCTGCAGGCATCCCGGCCGCCACAGCAGCTGGAACGGAGCAGTTCCAGGCGCCACCTTGTGGCCGGTGGCGGCAAGGGCAGTGGGCGGAGCCCGGCCGCCGGGATCCTCTGAGGTCCGTCCCAGCGGCAACTTCAGGGGCTCTGCTCTCCTCAGAGCTCAGCTGGCCGCAGCCAGGGCCAGGCCTGGGGGCAGCTGCGCAGGGCAGGCGGGCGCGGAGGGGGCAGCCCGGGACTCGTGTCCCCGGGTCTGGGCGGGCGGGGGATGGGAGCACCTGCTGCTGGAAGTAAGTGAGACTGGATCTCCACCAGGGGCTGAGGCTGCTGCCTAGAGGGGGCCTCGGCGAGAGGTGAGAGGAACCGGGGGACGTTTGAAGCGTCGAGGCCTAAAGGGGTGGGAAGAGCAGTGACTCGCTGGGTTTCCCTCTTTCCTCTGGGGCCAGGCTCTTGGGACTTGGGGGACCTGCTCAGGGCAGCCAGAGGCCAGGATCCCCGTTCTGCCCGCGGCCCCTCCCATCCGACCACCCACCCTCTGGGTCCAGCCAGGCCGCCCTCCTCCCGGCCTCCGTCCCACCGTACTCGCTTGCGTGCACTCAGCTCCTGGGGCTTCTCATATTTCCGCTTCCTCCTCAGGTGCACATCATCCGACTTTCGGCGCAGGATGCTGTCCACCGGCACCTTCTTGGGGTGCTCGTCCGACCTGCGCCTGGGCGCCTCCTCACACTCACTCCTCCGCTTGGCAGGCTCCTGCCCTTCCTTGTTGTCCCGGTTCATCTTCTGCTCCTTGAGCAGGGAGCCGGGCAGGTTGGAGGCATACTTAAAGCCAGGGCCACGCTTTTGCTTGTAGGCCAAAAAGGGAGAAGGAACAACCCGACTGTATATCTTTGGACTTGCCCAGCCACCGCGCCCCCTGCCTGACCACTTGCTAGGCTGGTCCCCGAAAGGCCCGCGCCCCGCCCACCCGCCGCCCAGGGACTTGGAGCCTGCACTCACTTTCCCGGTCTTGCCAGCGTGGTTGCACTTCGGACACTCCCAGCAGTTTGGAAGCTCGTCGTTGACCACACCCTCTGACTCCTTAATCTGGAAGAATAGGCTCGACTCAGCAGACAGGGAGGGGTATCAGGCCCGGGCCTGGAGGGCACAGGGTCCCCAAAGCCATGCCCATCCCATTTCCAGTCAAAAGAAAACACAGCTGCATAGGACTGAAATGCTGGACCTTCTGGCCCAGCCAGCCCTAAGCCACGGGCCTGTGCCCTGACCCATGAGCTGGGGCTGAGCCGGCCTACTTCACCATGCCTGGGAGGATTCAGTGAGGGGTGTGGTAAAGCAATCTGCTCAGGGCCATGCACACAGAGAAGACCCAACATGGATCATGTCATACACATGAGCTGGGGGAGAGGTGGATATAAGTAGCCAATTCAATGGGAAGGGCTGACTCCCAAAGCCAAGGAATCGCAGCAGCCCCTCCGAAGGGCATGGCTATCTGTGGGCCTCTCTCTGGCTGGGACAAGGGTGTGAGGCGGACCCATCATCCCCGCTGAGAGGAAGCTGGAGCCTAAGCACCCTCCTGGCCCACCTGCCCTCCACATTCTCAGGGCAGGAGGATGTGCTGGCCCATAGTAGTCTCTTCCTTTCCAAGGCAGAACCTACTGTCAAAGCCAGGCAGGCAGAGGTCACCCACAAGGCAGCCCTTCCCCAGGTACACCAAAGGAACCAGTTTATGGTGCAGAGGCACAGGAAAGCAACCACCTGTCACTCGGGACCCGCCCTCCTTGGCCCAGGTCTTCTCCCAGAAGCCAGGAGGCAAGACTCCATCGACCAGCCCCCTTGCAGCTCTGCTCCAGCACCCAGCCTGTGTTCTCCACCTCCTGAGACGCCGGGACCCTTTTAAAGGCTCTGAGGTACTGGAAGGTGGTGGTGGTAGGGGGTTCGTTCTCTCGGGGACACCACTCCAGACTCTTGCTGCTCTGGGGCCATCATGTGATACAGAATCCCCAGACTCAGTTCTCGGAGAATTCAGCAAGCGGTGCCACCCCCTACCTCCTGAAGTCTGCAGGGCAGGGACCCAGCCCCTCGTCAGCACCACAGAGCCCCGGGCTGAGCGCAGTAGGCTGGGGTCCCAGGGGCCGCTCACCTTAAGGCAGCCAGGGTGGATGATCTCATTGCAGATGGAGCACTCCATGAGCATGAGGTTGAACTTGCCTTCCTCCTCTTCCACTGTGTCCTCCTTCCCTGCCTCGCCACACACAAGGCACACAGCGGTATGGGGCAGCACTGGCTGAGGAGCCAGGAGACACACAAGTCAGCAGGGGGGGAAGAAGACAGACGCCTGGAGGACCAGGACCAGGTCAGGGACACTGAGCTGCTCTCCTGGGCCTGCCAGGAGACATCACACTCGGAGCCTGGCATATTTGCCCATTCATTCACACATTTACCAGGCTGCGACCTCTACATGTCAAGTACTTTACTCTATGAGAGCTAGGTTAAAATCTCTCCACCCTAAGCTCATCTTTTGGTGAAGGGAAGCAGACAGGTGGGTATAACAGGGCAGGGAGGGCCAGGCGTGAGGGAGGGTAGATGGGGGCCAGAGTTACATCTGGAGTCAGGCAAGGTCTCCACTCATAAAAGACCTGAAAAAGATGGGGTGGGAGCTTGGTCCAGACCCGTGGAGGGCTGGGGCTCATCACACTAGCAGGGATCAGGCCTCCTCCGGAAGGGCTGTCTTCAGACCAAGAGGAAGCCACCAACTGCCTACTCCATGGGCTGATATTTGCCCTAACGGTGCTCAAGCACTGGGGGCCAAAACCGCTGGCTCCTCAGCACCAGGTGACAGCTAGCTGTCCCAGCCATCACACACACTGCAAAGATCCCCAGTTCACTAAAGAATGTCTTGGATTATTAATCTTATGAAAACCTCGACCCTTGAGCACACATCCTTCCACACAAAGTATGTGCACAGCACATCTGCACACTGAGGGACATTCACTACCAGAGGAAAAGTGCTTGTGGCTGAGCTATGAGCTCAGCCGACCACCTTCTCCACACAACCTCCTGTTACATGAAAGAACTGAGGAAACCAGTTGGCATTTTTTTTTTTGAAGATCAAAGAAGCAAGCCTGTCAATTCCAGAAAAACGCATACTCATAACTCACACTAGTAGTATTTGGTGCAAATGACAAAATTCAAGTATCCGAAGAAAGATGAGAAGTTTGGAAAATTTACATGAGCCACTATGAACTGGAAGGCTTCCCAAAGCTTTTCTGATTGATTAAAATCAGGCTGGTGATTAAAAAATAGGATTTTATATGTATATATGTTATATACATATGTACACAGATTTCTACGTAAGTATTAGTAGTACAATGTGCCAATATTGGAAAATCTCCTTCAGTGAGCCAACATTTTCCAAATGACCCGTGCCTAATGTTATAACCTCCTGCATGAGCAGAAGGCAAGACTGATGGCTTCTACTATAACGGTATGAAAAGCTCACTGGTACAGTTTTTGATCCCACCTTCAACTGGCCTTAAAAAGCCACTGCCTGTTGAGTTCCAGGGCTTATATACCTGCATGGACGACTCACACACTCCTCCTCCCTGTCCAGTCATCTATCTGTGGAATCTCAGTTCTCCTCTTCCTCCTCCCAAAACAACCTAATACCACAGACTGGAGCACAGAAGCAGATGTGGAAATCCAGGTCCTTTCTAATGAATTGGACACAAGAGATTCACAAAGACATAAAACCGTCACTCTTCCTATTTTTGTTTTGGACAATATAGTTGCTTCTTATAAAGATGTTTTATCTTCATTTAAAAAATATGTAAGGGGGGGCGGGGATTTAGCACAGTGGTTTCACCGCCTGCTGCGCAAGCGCAAGGACCCAAGTTCGATCCCCAGTAACAAAAAAAAGTAAGGAGTTTCTTATTCTCAAAATGAATTTAAAGTATTTTATAAATTCACTTTTAATACAGTAGGGTTTTTTTTTTTAATTTGAGGTACCGGGAATCAAACTCAGGACCTTTTGCTTCCGAGGCAGATGTGGCCCCACTGAGCTATACCCCTAGCCCTTTTTTGAGACAGGGTCTCACTATAGCCCAGGCTGGCCTTTAACTCATGGCAATCCTCCTGCCTCAGCCTCCTCAGTGCTGGGACTACAGGCTGCACCACCACGCGCAGCCTTGAGTGTAGCAGATATAGTAAGTAAACTCCATGAACAAGGGCACTTTGGGGCCCTTAGGGTTTTAGACCACAAAGGGGCTCCAAGACCACCAAGTTTGCCGGAGCCCAAGGGCAGAGGCCAGGTCAGCCCTATGCCCACCTGCTCACCTGGCCCTGATGAGTACAGAATGCAGAAGACGCACAGGCACAGGTTTTACTAAACTGCTTCCCAGGAGCTTCAAACAAGCTGGGATATGCTCGGCTGTAAGTGGAAAAGTCTGTAAAGTGGCCAGACACCTGAGTCCACACAGAACACTGCAGGTACAAGAGCCATTTATCATCCAACCAACACCTAACAACATCTGCTAACGCCCAGAACAAGATATTAAGAGAGGTGTGGAAGTGATGGGACAGCTGTTCTCCTCAAAGTATTTCAGAAGACAAAGACACAACTCACTGAAATCCAAGAAAATGTGAAAAAGTTGTGTTCAGGTGTAATCTGAAGCAGCAAGGCCGACTAGTAGGAGGAAAGATCTCCAAGTGGGCAAGGCCAGAGAGGTCTGCACAGGACACACTCAGTGTGGGGTCGCAGCAGGCAGCCTGGAGCTACAGGTGTGCAGCAAGAGGAGGGTCTGGGCTCAGGACACTGACTCTGAGACACGTGGCAGCTTGAGAGGGGAACCAGGGGCAAAGCTACTGCAGAGATCCTGGAGGGGAGGGAAGCCACTGGAGGAAGCCGAGGGAGACGCCACACATCGAGCGGGAAGGCCATGTGTGGGGCAGAGGGGAAAATATAGAAGGCCGGAAAGAGACTCCGAAGGACTGGATGGCTCAAGAAGCCTGTGGGGTTGGAGCTGACAGGAGACAGGTTCACTCCTACCAACATGGCCCATGTGCCCGGCATGGCAGCAGGCACCAGAGCTGCAAAGATGAGGCCAATCACAAAGGTTTCCTGTAACTGGACCCTGGGCACTAGAGGAGAAGGCAGTTAAGGTTTAGGTGACACTTGTCCAAACCAACAGTCTCCAGACAAGATCCTTAAAATCCTGTTCAAAGGGCTGGGGATGTAGCTCAGCGTGCAGTGCCTGCCTGGCAAGCATGAGGCCCTGAGTTCAATTCCTGGTACCCCCCAAAAAAATCCTGTTCAAATTCAAAGGGTCACACAGACCCTCTTCACCAGAAAAATGCATCCACAACAGATAATACTTGATCCTGGGGGTTAATATCCAGAATATATGAAGAGCTTCTACAACCTCACAACAACAACACCAGAAATACCCAATTAAAAATGAGCAAAGGATACGAAACAGATATTTCTCCAAAGAAGACATACAAATGATCAACAAGTACACAAGAAAGTGCTCGATATCACTTGTCATTACAGAAATGCAGATCAAAAACATAACAGGATGCTACCTCATACACACCAGGATGACCACTGTTAGAAACAAACAGCTGGGCATCAGTGGCACACATCTGTAATCCTAGCACCTGGGAGACTGAAGCAGGAGGATCACTGCAAATTTGAGGCCAGCCTAGGGTCGAGTGTGAGTTCAAGGGCAGCCCAAACTACAGAGCTAAACCCTGTCTCAAAAAAAAAAAAAAAGAAAAAAGAAAAATGCTGAGTGTGGTGAAATGTACCTGTAGTTCCAGCACTTGGGAGGCTGAGGCAGAAAGATCCTGAGTGCAAAGCCAGCATGGGCTACACAGTGAGTTCAAAATCAGCCTAAAGTACATAGTGAGACCTGTCTTAAAAAAAGAAATTAAATTTG